AAAAGACTAAAAACAGGAACATGTCTGTTGGTTTATGCCATGAACTTAGCAGATGTTTAAAGCCATTTTCTTTAAATTTAATTCGTTTATTCATTCATTTCAAAGAACCAAAAATAAACAACAAATTCCAAAAAGAAAACATTGAATGACAAGAGTGCAGAAAGAAGAAAAAAATTTCTTATGCCCCTTATTTAAAAAATAAAATAACTTTAAACAAACAATCACTTAATCACTTTAATATCCACTTTAAAGCTAGGAATAAAATAAAAACATGTTTTGTGTTAGCAGAATTTTATTCTAACTTTAAAACGTATCCAACATTAATAAAACTTACCTCAAGTTGCCTTTTTGGACATGCATGCATTTTATACTTGAGAGGAGATTATTACAGCCTCATATAAAATCAATGATGAGCATGATATTGGAACTGTATCGGTATCGGCAGAGAAGAAACCCAAACAGGACAGCCAACCATCATTAATCAGGGGTGGAGGCCTCCGTGTTCAACTGTCCCCCTCTTACAATGCTGTTATTGCTAGTATCACTCAGCCCTCTGTGAATAGCAAGCGGCAATGAGGGTACTAACGATCTGTTGTTAGACTGATGGTCCTCCTTGAGGATGTGAACAGCTAGTTCTGGATGTCACCAACAAACTGGTTGATCCACTACGAGAAGGTGCTATTTATAAGACTGAGCTGAATACAGCACCTCAGACTGAAGAAGTCTTTCGGATGAGAGACGAAACGTTTCTATAATTTTTTCGTTTTGTTTTTTTCAATGTCCAGAGGACCAGATTTAACTTTTTTTATTTTTTAGATTTTTCTACCTGGATTATTGATCATGCATCAGGATATCTTAAAAGGGATCTTAGGAACAGAAGGGGACAAGGAGAAATTAAGCTTTATTAGACAAGTGTTGTTTATATATTTATATAATATAAAAATTAAAAAACATAATTTAGAAAGTGGAGGCTAAGCAGTCACACACATGATCAGTAAAGTAAATTAAACCATGCTGAACCACACTCCACCGCTTGGTGGCGGTATTGCACACCTTCAGTTTTTTTTTTTTTTTTTTGCCAACCACCAATAATCCCACGAAGAAGAAGAAGATGCTAGTTAAGCTAGCAGGCTGGAGTCTTCGCTGTTAAAGTTTCTACCTTCCAGAGGTGGTTATCAGGGAAACAAGTACGCTAGCAGGTTTGATGAAAATGCGCCGCCTGGGCTCCGTTCAGCAGAAGATACCGTGCGTGTTTCTCACGGAGGTGAAGGAAGAAGCGTCCAGAAAACGGGACCGTCAGGTGAGACAGCAGCCTCTGGTGCTGCGGAGGTCGTGACGACACATTTATCACTTTGTGTTTTAGTGAAACAGTTTCACGTGAGTGCTGCAGCTAGCACGTTCCGTGTATACGTCTCTCTGTGCGTGTTTGTTTTAAGCCTTTTTCAACGTTGCGGCATCCAGTCAGACGTGATTGTGGTTTATTGATGTTAAAATCAGTCCGAACACTAATCTCTGCAGCAAATGGTGCGAATTGAGATGAACCATCATGTTTCCAGTTTAACCACAGACTGAGATGTGTGATGGTGCGTAATGTTCAAGGACTCAAGGTTCTTTGTTGTCGCATGCACCGCATGGTGCGTATAAACAAAAAGGGTTGAATGTGGTAGAACGAAATAGTGAGTGTCCCAGTTAGATCCAACAATAAAATGTAAAAGGAAAAACAGTAATAAGATCTAAGGTATGAATCAAGAAAAACAAACTAAAAATACACTAAGCACTAGTAGCATGAAAACAATAAGCCAAACAGCAGCACGAACATCTGTGAGCAGATGAGCACACATGAACACAGCAACATGAAACAGATCAGCAACAACATGAAACAGATAAGCAGCAACATGAAATAGATCAGCAGCAACATTGAAACAGATCAGCAACAACATTGAAACAGATCAGCAACAACATTGAAATAGATCAGCAACAACATTGAAATAGATCAGCAGCAACACGAAACAGATCAGCAGCAACATTGAAACAGATCAGCAACAACATTGAAACAGACCAGCAGCAACATTGAAACAGAGCAGCAGCAACATTGAAACAGATCAGCAACAACATTGAAACAGATCAGCAACAACATTGAAACAGATTAGCAACAACATTGAAACAGAGCAGCAACAACATTGAAATAGATCAGCAGCAACACGAAACAGATCAGCAGCAACATTGAAACAGATCAGCAACAACATTGAAACAGATCAGCAACAACATGAAACAGATCAGCAACAACATCGAAACAGATCAGCAACAACATTGAAACAGAGCAGCAAAATCATTGAAACAGATCAGCAACAACATGAAACAGATCAGCAGCAACATGAAACAGATCAGCAGCAACACAAAACAGATCAGCAGCAACATTGAAACGGATCAGCAGCAACATTGAAACAGATCAGCAACATTGAAACAGATCAGCAGCAACGTTGAAACAGAGCAGCAACAACATTGAAACAGATCAGCAGCAACATTGAAACAGATCAGCAACAACATTGAAACAGATCAGCAACAACATTGAAACAGATCAGCAACAACATTGAAACAGATCAGCAACAACATGAAACAGATCAGCAACAACATTGAAACAGATCAGCAACAACATTGAAACAGAGCAGCAACATCATTGAAACAGATCAGCAACAACATGAAACAGATCAGCAGCAACATGAAACAGATCAGCAGCAACATTGAAACGGATCACCAGCAACATTGAAACAGATCAGCAACATTGAAACAGATCAGCAACAACATTGAAACAGATCAGCAGCAACATGATGTGATTTTTCACAGTGATTATTCTAGTTAGAGATTCATGAGTCTAACTGCCTCAGGGTAGAAGCTGTTCCTCAGTCTAGTGGTTCTACACTTAATGCTCCTTAACCTCCTTCCTGAGGGGAGTGGGGCAAAAACTGTGTGCTGGATGAGTGGGGTCCTTCATGATGCAGGTGGCCCTCTTCCTGCATCTGGAGGTGTAGATGTCTGTGATGGTGAGACTGACTCCAACATCTTCTGTGCAGCCTTCACCACTCTCTGCAAAGCTTTTCTTTCTGCAGCTGTGCAGCCTCCATGCCACACATTGATGCTGGAGCACAGGATGCTCTCCACTGCACACCTGTAGAAGGAGGTGAGGACTGAGCTTCCCAGACCAGCTCGTCTCAGCTGCCTGAGGAAGTAGAGTCTCTGATGAGCGTTCTTCATCAGGCTGGTGGTGTTGTCGAGTTTGTCATAAACACGTTTTACACAGTAAAGTTTTTTTTTTTTAGTCACGATATGATGATTATGATAGCAGGGACTTTGCTTTTTGGCATTGGCGGGGCTCTGTTTTATCGACTTTTGAAGAAGACATCGGCAGCAATTTCAGCCATGGCAAAGCCTCCAAGTCAGTGTGAGGGTTTGGTCCGGGCTGTAGGAAGTTTTCACACCTGATAGTCCGGTAGACTCTGTTGGGGACCAATATTCATAACATTTTGTTTACATTTGAGCTGGTGCGTTTGCATTCACACTGTACTCGAACCGTGCTGGAGTTTTCTTCCACCGGACCGAGACCTAGGTTTTAGACCGGGCCAGAGTTAGTCTCTTTGTTCCGTGACAAAGTTCGATGGTGAGTTCACACCTCCCCAAACGAACCGGACTTCCTAGGCAAACGGGCTAGAGTTTGGGACAACAGGGCTGGTGTGAATGAACTCTAAATCAACTGGTTTACGAGCTAAACCGTAAGGTGGAGGCGATTTGTGAGAATCGCAGGCCACCTGCGGCTTCTGGGACTCGTCACCACGGTGGGTTCGACCTTGAGGGAGACTCCTAACATGGATCAGTGGAATGGATTCCCACAATTCGGCCAGTTTGGAACCAGAACGTCCAGATGGACTCAAGACTGAAGAAAAAAGTAATCTGTCTGCCTGAAGAAAATCAACAATCAAAGCTTATCTGAATCTGACTCCCCGACGGCCTCGGAGACGGGCCGACTGTCATATTTCTCCTGGGTCATGGGTAACCAAGGACTAAAGCTTCATCTATCGCCCCCCCAGTTAATTGTTTGTCTAAAAGAGGTCTCTTAAGTCGTCATGACTCAACGAGACTAACCTGTATAAATAAATGTTGAATGAATGAATGAATATGGACAACTGATTCACTTTTGGAGTTAATCCAATTCAAGATGGCTGCCACAACTAACTAATCATAAAGAAACGCTAAACTTGGTTAATTCTACAGATATTGTGCTAAATTTTTAGGGTGGTAGTTGCTGAGAATCATTCACAACACACATTGAGCGGGACAGCTCATGGTATAATTTAAGTTTGACCAAAGCAGATACAACTCCCATCATTTCTGAGCACACGATGATAAAACTGGCATGAAACGTGACCCGTCCTACGATTCCTTCAAGGAACGTTAAGTCTTTAATATAAACATTAAAAATGTGCTGTAGACAAAAGAAACTCAGAAATATCTCTGACGAGCTGTTTCTTTAAGTAGTCCAGGGTTTTCCTCCCCTCCTGGTCGACAAAGCAAAGATAATCTACCAGGAGAACTAGTTATTAATAAATAGTAATAAAGTGTGCAATCACTGAGTCACATGTTGGAAATGATAAAGTTCATAGTGCTGATCTGATGTTTTCTCATGAACATTTCAGACAACTTGGATTCAAACTTTTGATTAACTTGCGCTTTAATTTTTTTTTTAGCAATTTCAGGTTGTCGCCACAGAGAACGTGAACCCTGTTGCTGTTGAAGCGAACGTCAACTGTGCACGTGCCACAGAGAAATTGGACGGTACCTGCTGCTATGTTGGCTTGTACCAAGGTGAGCACGTGTGTTTTGCAGAAGCTTTGTGTTAGTGGAAGAACATGGATTATTCTGTGGGAGTTTGATCACATGTAAAACCAGCGTTCCTTCAGGTCAGCCTTACCTCTGGGCCAGACTCGACAGGAGACCCAACAAGCCGGCAGAGAAGAGGTTCAAGAAGCACCAGCGTTCTCAGACAAACTATAAAGGTATTATTGCTGTAGTTGATTAAAGTTTGACGTTTGTCCCAGCTGCGTGCTAGATGTACTCCTGACAGCTACACGTTACTGGTTGGTTTCACCATGAGGTGGCTTCTGGCTCAGATTTTGTGTGGAACGTGGAGGAAGACTTTAAAAGCGTGCCAGAGACGTGGATTCCAGCTCACAGAGTCAAACACCATGACGGACACCCCATTCCTGACGAACACGGACATATTCCAGGTTGGATTACATTAATTTTTTTGTAAAGTTGTGAGGCTGCTTCCAGCCTGAGTTAAGTAGCCAGTATCTTCTCCCAAATGGAAATCGTGAGTGTGGTGCGGGAACAGTGTTCTGCTGTAAACCTGCAGGCTGGGTTCCAGTGGAGAACAACAACAAGCAGTACTGCTGGCACTCCTCTGTGGTGGATTACGACGTTGGGACAGCTCTCGTCCTCAGACCCAGCTCAGATGAAGAAGATGTGCTAGAAGTTACAGCCGTCCCGTTGGCAGAGATCCAGGAACAAACACTAGAGCTCATCGGAACCAACGTCAACGGGAACCCGTACGGTAAATTTATTTGTACTTTACTGCTTTAAATTTGACAACCAGCTGGTTTTACACAGATTGTATACAATATACAAACGTTGTACAGTAGTCCCTCGTTTATACCCTGAAGCCCCGCGACAAGTGAAAAACCGAAGTATGAATAGTAGTACTAGTTTATTTTAGTACTTGTATATATATATACTAGTATATATATTAAGGTGTTTTAAACTCTTCCCACACTTGCAATATTCTAAATGTCTCTAAACTCTAAACGCTCTAAAAGGGCACAGAATGTCATGATTTCAGCTCCTCGCTGCTCTCAGCCACCTGCAAGCGTTCTTGGCCACGCCCACTTCTCCACTCTGCACGGTGAACAGCTGATCAGCTGCAGCAGGTGCTAAATAATTTAAAATTTATTTTAAATAAAAATCCCATGCTGAGCGTGCGGCTCATCCATCAATCAGCCAATTGTGTGTCATGTCTAATCTTCTTTTGAAAAACTGCGATGGAGCGAGTCCGCGATAAATGAACTGCGACGTAGCGAGGGACTACTGTATATGACAAAAATTAGAATTTGGATCGTCACTGATCATCACACTTTTTTACTTCAGCTGTGTATTGTTGCACCTGCAGGGCTGGGGAGTAAGAAGCAGCCCATCCACCTCCTGGTACCACATGGAATTATTTCCATCCGAAACCCCTCGTCTGTGGACTTCCAGCAGCTGTGCTCCTGGTTCCAGGAGAGCCCTGAGGGCCAAGTAGAGGGCATCGTGTGGCACTGCGACAACGGCTCCCTCGTTAAGGTAAGAGAATTGAAACATTTGGCACATGAAGTCTGGCTGTAGGAGAAATTTCACAGTCTGTGTGTTTGCAGGTTCATCGTCATCACATGGGCCTCCGGTGGCCTGATGGGGACCCCTGTCTCGCCAGAAGACCTGTGGTCATTCGTGTTGATGGGACAGTCGATGCCTACAACAGCAAGAGCTTGTTTACGTCCTTTTTTAAGCTAAATGGACACTTGTTTCGCCAGCTGCAGGACGTACAGTTTGAATCATAAGCAGCACACGATGATGATGATTTCATCCCCGAGGATCCAGACAGATAACTGCACTACAGTTTAATAAATCTTAAAACAACTACTGCTTAAGAAACAGGTCCAGCTGGAATTCATAATCGGAGTGAGTGAAGTGTGAAAAAGGTTGAACATCTAACAGAGGAAATGCATTTAAAGGGATATTTTAGACATTGTAAGTTGGGATTCAGTGGAAAAGTCCTGAACTGTTCAGGCCTGTCATGATAAACAATAAATCAATCGCATGATAAATGAAAATTATCGACCTCATTTTCATTTATTGGCTTTATCCTTTCTTCGTCTCTCTTTCTACTGACGACACTGAATGACACAAGGCTCAACTCCGGGGCTCTTCACTGACCCCTCCCTCTCTCTTTTCTATTTACAATATGTTTTAACGTTAAAATCAGCTAAGCTGAGAAGCTAAGCTACGAGCTAAGCTAACAGACTGACCTCTGGGAAAAAACCTCTGTCTTGTCGAAGCTTCAGAATTCACGATTGAAACCCGTGCCTTCGTGTAAAAAGTTGTTTTTCTCTGCAAAAAGAAGCTGAGAACTTGTTTACTGATTTTTATTAAAAGCTTTGTGTGACAAATGCTATGCTAAAGAGCTCAAACCACACTGAGCGTCCGCCATTTTGAGAACCGAAAAAAAGGAAGGAGACAGCCCATGTCACGTCAAGGGGCCTCCCTCCTATTTTTCTTAAAGAGACACGCTGCTCGCTCCCTCACTATCCATCCTTCGGTTCAAACTGTCTTATACTGCCACCCGGTGGTCGAAAAAAAGGTGCTACATTCAAAACTAATTAAACATTTTTTTTCTTAAATTTGACTAATTACTAATTATTGTCAAATTTCAAACAATATTATCGTTTATCGCAATAATTTCTGAGACAATTAATCGCCCAGCAAAATTTGTTATGATGACTGGCCTACTGTTCGTATCTTACCTGTTGTATGAAGCTCAACCTCAGTTTGGAGAAATACAACTTACAGTCTTGTCCACATGGAAACAGGATTTATTTTGAATGTTTTCTAGAAACGCAGGATTCATTCAGTCTGCATTCAGACTAGCCGTTAGCTCATCAGTTTTGTCAAACTTTAACTGTTTCTCCAAACTGTGCAAGAGGTAAGATATTAACTGTTCATTACTTCTCAACAGAACCCCACTTCCTGTTAAAGGCACAACAGCTTCTTATATCTTATCTGGGATAAATGTGTAGTTTTAATCTGGAGGTAATTCTCCAACTGTAAATACTGCACATTTGTGTGAAGAACAAAAGGAAGACATTTTAAAAATCTATTTCAGACAGTAAAAATGACTTTATTGGCAAATATTAAAAAAATATGCCACAAGTTATTTTGCAGAACATTTCGTATAAAAAAATAAAAACCTGCTTGAGAACAGTGTCACTTTAGAAGCTAAACTTGTACCATTGTAACTTTTTGACTAGTCTGAAGAACAAAAATACTTCACACTGCTGGAATGTATCGTCTCCATTCGGAGTATTTTGGACACTTGTCGTGTACTCGGGGTGCAGCGAGTTAACTGATGGACACGCTGGGCATTTCAGCCGTCACACCAAACTGAGCGCACACCTTCTTCAGCTGCTCCTCCAGCAGGATGTTCTTCTTCACCTCTAAATTGTAGTTGTACTTCAAGTCCTCGAGCTCTTCCAGAAAAGCCGGGTCGAAGTTTTCCAGTTCCTTCTTCAGCCTCCTGACCTCCGTTTGAAGTTTGTGTTTCTCGGTTTCGGCGCCCCGCAGGAGATTTTTCAGTTTACTGGACTCTGATTGCAAAAAGTGAAGTTACTGGTAATGTTCGTCAAATAGTTCACATCATAGCTGGTGCTTTTTGGTCAATGTTACTCGCACAGAACTCATGATTTCAGACTGACAATAAAAAATATATTTTTGAACTACAAAAAAGGTTGAATCATGTCATCTGGACTTCGTTTTTTTGTTAAAAAAGAAACGTTTCGCCCCTCATCCAAGAGGCTTCGTCAGTCTGAGGCCTAGCCATCTGGTATTACCCAGAAGCCACCCTGACTCTTGTGTTTCAGGCCTGCCTCAGATACCCCTGAAGTCTGGCCTTTTCACTAATGGTTTCAAAAACACAGTTTGTTTTCTCAGTCA